GCGGCAAAGTCAGACCAAAGATCGAAGTCGCGGATCGTCCAAAGAAGACATCAAATCCAAAAGAGATGATCAAATCACCAACACGGAGACCGAAGCTCTCCAAAAGGCGGAAAAAGCAAACCAAAGATCAAAGTTGTGGATCGTCTAAAAAAAACATCAAATTCAAACCTGACAATCGAATCGCCCACACGGAGACAAAAGCTCTCCAAAATGCGGTAAAGCCAAACGAAAGATCAAAGTCTCGAATCGTCTAAAGAAGACATCAAATCCAAAACCGATAATCAAATCGCCCACACAGAGACCGAAGCTTTCCAAAAGGCGGAAAAGGCAAACCAAAAATCAAAGTTGCGGATCATCTAAAGAAGACATCAAATCCAAAGCTGACGATCGAATCGCCCACACGGAGACAAAAACTCTTCAAAAAATAGCAAAGCCAAACCAAATATCAAAGCCTCGGATCGTCTAAAGAAAACATCAAATCCAAAAGCTGATGATCAAATCGCCCACACGGAGACCAAAGTCCTCCAAAAGCGGCAAAGCCAAATCAAATATCAAAGCCTCGGATCGTCCAAAGAAGACATCAAATCCAAATGTGACGATTAAATCGCCCACACGGAGACCAAAGTCCTCCAAAAGGCGGAAAAGCCAAAGCAAAGATCAAAGCCTCGGATTGTCTAAAGAAGACATCAAATCCAAAGCCGACGATCGAATCGCCTACACGGAGACCAAAGTCCTCCAAAAGCGGCAAAGTCCAAATGAAAAATCAAAGCCTCGGATCGTCCAAAGAAGACATCAAATCCAAATGCGACGATTAAATCGCCCACATGGAGACCAAAGTCCTCCAAAAGCGGCAAAGCCAAATCAAAGATTAAAGCTTCGGATCATCCAAAGAGGACATCAAATCCAAAACTGACGATCAAATCGCCTGCACGGAGACCAAATCCCTCCAAAGTCCGGCAAAATCAAACCCAAGATCAAATCTCTTCGGATCAAAGAAGCCATCGAAAACCAAGTTGGAAAACAAATTGACCCGGAAGGAGAATCAAAGGATCCATTTAGAGAATATGACCCGCTTTAAATCCAAATCAAATATAATTTGTACAAATTTTGTGTTTATTAAAAATAACATAATTTTTTATCCACAATATATATTAAAAATTATTTATAATTCAAGTAAAGCTCGAGCTCAAGTTCAAGCCCAATGAGCCGAGCTCGAGCTCAAGATCGAGCCTTGCGAGCCGAGCTCGAACCACTATTTCAGCTCAAATTTATAAACGAGTCGAACCTGTATCGATAACATATTCAAGTCAAGCTCGAACAACATATATTCGAGCTCGCTCGATTCGTTTAACAACTCTACATTTGATAAAGTAGTTTTTACTAAGCATGCTAAAATTTTGAAGGCTAATTAAGGTAAATTGAGCAAAGAACTTTTTACATACATGTGATAGTTCATACATCCTAACTTTTTACATGCGATAGTTCATTAATCCTAGCGAAATCCTCTTTAGTTAGAACTCATTTTTTCTCACTAGAAAATACAAAACATTCAAAGTTGACATTTGAATAGCTCAATAGTTTAAGAATTAGTTTTATGCTCATAAGCAATGTTGTTCCTGACATTTATGAGGATCAGGATAAAAGCAAATCAACGCTTCCGTCCACTGGAAAGTATCCGATTATTTTTTTTTAGTGAATTAAAAATAATAATATTTTATTTGTTAGTAAAAGAGCGTAAAATAATTTTGATATTTTTGTCTTTACAAATACAAAGAAAAAATATATATATTATAAATTATAAGTATTTTGATATTTGTATATTAATTACTTTTCTTATAATAAAAAATGATTTTTGAATAAGACATACAAAAATAGTAAAAAAAATACATTAAATTGGAACAAAGAAAATATTAAAATTAAAAATAAATAAAAATTTCTTTAAATAATAATAAAAGATTAAATATTTTTAAATATTAAAATTTTAATATATAAGAAATAAGATACATATAATGATCTTGAATAAATTTATAATAATTATTCATTTTTAAAATTTAAATTTAGTAGAATATTACTGTACGATTACTAAAACGCATATAAATAAAAGTACTTAATAATTGTTTTGTAAGGGATAATTAGGTTCAATCGAAAGTTTACACAAAATGCATTTAAAAAATAGAGATTGAATTAAAAAAAAAATAAAGGTCGTGATTTTCCATGTCATAAGAAAATACTTAATAATTGCACAACAATTTACATTTTAATAAATTAATTTTTTTAGATAAAAAAAATACTTAATAATTACACAACAATTTACATTTTAATAAATTAAAGTTTTTAGATAAAAAAAAAAATACTTAATAATTACACAACAATTTACATTTTAATAAATTAAAGTTTTTAGATAGATTAGTTTAAATGATTTGAGATGTATTAATTTGTATGTATAATGTGCTTCCATTACAATCAACTTAGAGCTAATTTGCTTATATTAACAAATATTTATAAAAATAGTACTCCATATTAATATAGAAAAATACTTAAATAGCAAATTATATAATTATATAATTTTAATTTTAGCATAATATATTTTGACTCAATAAACAAATATTATAAAGAAATTAGCATATATTAATATACTTCTTCCGTCCGCCAAATTTATTCCCAATTTTTTTTTTAATCCATCCACTAAATTTATCCAATTGCTAATTTTGGCATAGTCAACAATCAACATCTAATTATTACATTCCATTCAACACTTATTTACAACAAATATCACTGACTTTATTACATTATCTCTTTTCATTTATTTTAATTCTAACTAAATTTTCAAAAATACCCAACTACTTATTACTTTTTCAATAATATATTCATTTTTTCAATATCTGTGCCGGGCCCAAGAGGGTAAATTTTAATGGACGGAGGGAGTAATATATATCAAATATTTTAATAGCAAATTATATAATTATATGTAGCAAATATAATTTTAATTTCAGCACAATAGATTTTTATTTTAGTACTATAGTACAATAAACAAATTATATAACACACCACAATATATAACTCACACAACAAATGCTAATATAATATATAGTATAACCCATTATGTAATTGCATGTAATACAATATATGTTGATTTCAACACAAAATATAAGGTCAGTTCGTGCAACAATTTTTCGGAATTGCGATTCCCAAAAATAATATTTTATATTTTTTAAACAGTTCTCTATACCACAAAAAATAAAACAAAAATTAAACACTTATTACAAAAAGTCAAAAAGTCAACCATTCAAGTTAAAATAATATTTTATACTTTTTAACTCAATACTCCATACCACACACCAAAAATTCATCCAATCTAAAAACAATGAAGTGGAGTTTGGTACAGAGAATGAAATTGGAGAAAAATATAATTGAATAGAGACTAAAAAATTAATTATATTGTTGGACAAAACAGAGAATTCTAAAAAAAAATGCTGTAATGAATCAAATGAGAATAAATTATTAATAAAAAAAGAATTTTAACTCATGAAAAAATATTTTTGATGATTTTTTTTTTTAAAAATTGTAAATTATATACAATATTTTTTAAGTACAATTTCTTAAAATAATCTTAAAATTTAAATACTTTAACAATAAATTAAATTTGATTTTTTTGAAATTAAAATAATATAATTTTTTTAAAAAAATATATAAATTAAATAGTACAAAAAAGATTAAAAAAAATTAAAAAATATATACTACTACACAATTTTTCTCAATTTCTCTGCATAGAGAAATCAAAATATTTATTTCTCAAGTTCCATTTCTTTAAGTCAAACAAATAAGAATAATGAGACTATTTCCATTTTTTGGCCTCATTTCTATGTACCAAACACACCCTGAGTAAACATAGCTATAATATACATAACACATATTTTTATATAACACTAACATATATTATTTTTCTTGTAATAATTTACTAATTGTTTGAAGTTAATAATCTATTATATGTCTTGTAATGATTTGTTAATTACTTTGAATTAATTGATAACTTAGATCAAAATTATTATGATCCTCATTTGATCATATCAGCACTTTAATAAATCATATAATTATTAGATGTAAACGCATTATAGTTATTTGATTTTATATTTTATTTAGAAAATATATATTTAATAATAATAATACCAATAATAATAAATGAACACACTACTAGTAAAATTTTATATAAAATAAATTAATACTCCCTCCATTCCAATACAATAGTCTTAGTTTATCATTTTCGTCCGTACCAAAATAATAGTCTTATTTCCATATAATTTTTACTATAGTTCATTTTAAAAATAATTATGAAACTAAAATTATATACATATGTATAATAATAACTTTTGGAAGTTATGGTCCCATGAAAAATAATAATAATAATAAAGCTTATTTAAAAGATCTTGAAACATTCATAAAAATATTTCTTTGCATCACTGACTGGGCTAGCTAATGCCAAAAAATGACGTAGAATTTGGCGTCGATTGGAGGCATCGTACGCCAAATTAATGGCGCTATGCCCTAATAATTAATCTACTATCTAATCTTCCTAATCCAAAAAACCCTTATTAGGTTTGATACCAAGAATATACATACATAGTAACTACCTACTATATCATCGTATATCCTAGAGCTGGCAAAAACTGACTCGGACACGACAATTCGACGCGACCTGACACAAAATAATTGAGTTTGGGTCAAAAATTTCAACCCGATTATGTATACAAATTGACACGAACCCGACACGATAATAAATGGGTCGGGTTAGAGTTGAGGCTCTCAACTCAAACCTGACACGACAATCCGATTATAATATATTAATATTGATTAATATATTTATTATATATGTAAAATAATCATATTTTAATAATTTTATCATAAATTAATTTAAACTAAATTCAATTTTAAATAATTCAATCTAATTTACGCTCAAACCAATAAAAACTAACATAAAAGACAACACAACAAAAAATTATTTAATTTGAATCAAGAAATTCGACTTAATTATATATACGGGTCAATACGAGTCAACCCGAACCCGACACGATAATAAACGGGTCGACACGAACCCGACACGATAATAAACGGATCAGGTTAGAATTGAGTAATTTAACCTGTTTAAAGTATTCAACCTGACACAAACCCATAGAGAGGCTCGTAAACAAATAAATACAAACAGTAGAAAGCCATAGAGAGGCTAAAATGACACCAACTCCATCATCATCACATTATGTTGAGACTACATGCATGCATGCACAGCATAAATGCAAAGTTATGGTAAGCACCAGAGGCGAGGCGAGGCGAGGCTAGACAGTAAGAACTTGCTTCTTTTATGTCGGATGCAGAATGACTGTCTCACCTAAAAGTTCAAACTATTAGGAAAACACAGTCATTAATTATATATCCGCAAATAGGAGTCCCAACACGCGAGAGCTAGCCAGGCTTTGATAACATGTCGGATACAGAATGACCATCTCATCTAAAAGATCGACCTGTTAGGAAAATACAGACATTAATTATATATCCGCAAATGGGAACCCTCAACATTTTACGGTCCTAAAGGAAGAACCTACAAGAATAACATTCTTAGAGATCGAGATGCAAGAAGATAAGACTGTGCCTGTATGTATTATAACCGGAATCAGGTTATCATTCCCAAAAATAGATATTGTGCACCTGAATCAGAGATGAACATCTACCTAACCTGCAGTTTACTTTGTTTGTAGGAAAACACATACATTGTTAATCGAGAAAGTGAAAACAAAGATGATCGCCGCAAATTCAACCAATATAATAATAAGCTTTATAAGACCTAGTCCAATTTAGACATTCTTTGAGGCCATAACATAACATTCATTGCCTTTAGAATCAAGCCCAAAGAAGACATACTTACCTAGTAGCTACCTACCTGTGTTCATCTTCTGATCGCCACTTTTCTTGCCAGATCCAATATGGCTATTTGAACCATCTAAGAGGAGAACTATAACATTAACAGGGAATGGAGGACACAAAACCGGATTCAATCCACTTGACATCATTAACCAAAACCTCATAGTGATACTTAACATCTTCCACAGACATACCAGGATGTTGAGCAGCAATTTTCTCCCATCTATCAGAACAATCCTCCGAAAAAGTAAGTGTTGCTTTCTCTAATTTTTTGTCCTACTCATCAGCCAGCATCTACACTTGCTTCAATTAAACACAAAGCAAAAGAAAGAAAAGAAAAGAAAGAGTTCCTGTTTTACTGCTCCCATTTCTAAGGCAAATAATTGTGTTCTGAATCTTGCAAAAAACCAAAACTAATGGGATCCACTTATTCAAATAGAAAATAGATACACGAGAGGGGTGAAGCGATATAAGACCACTCCCCTCCCCTCCCTAGAGGCTACAGCAACATAAACAGCAAGCAACCAAGTAAAAAATGGGCAAAGAAACATCATTAGAAAGGCCCAAGCTGATGAAATCAATGGAGATTTGCCCCGCAATTCATATTCAAGAATTGAATTTCTGTCAAGTGATTGCCCTTCCCTGTTGACGAAGACAAAAAGGTAGAGAGGGCATGAGAGCGAAATTCCTGACAACCATAATGCCCAAAACTACAATAAATAACTCTAAGCAATCATTCATACCAAGCAATGGAGACAGACAATCCTGCTATTGATTGAAAAACAGCAACACTCGAATCGCCATTCGGAGCAAAATAAAATGAAATGGAGATGCGGGGAATCGAACCCCGTGCCTCTCGCATGCGAAGCGAGCGCTCTACCATATGAGCTACATCCCCTGTTTGGAAATTTAATTCAATTTCCTTGAAATTATATTATTAATAAATACTACACCTATGCTATATCTTAGTTGGGTAGATAATTATATATATAAAGGTGGTAAATAAAAGTATTTACATGTATGCAGGCATTGTCATTTGACTAGAAAAGGGAATGTAGAGATATAAGAAACAATAAGCGCAATTTGAATATTTGCATTTGGTATATTTTTATTGAAAATAATTTTTTTTATTATTTACAAATAATTTAAACCAAATTAAATATAAAAATAAATACATCAATAAATAATTAACATTCCAATTAAATAAAAACACTTACAAATATTTCAAATTGAACCTTATTCGAATTTAATCCTCCCTTAGTTAATTTTTTATTTGTCCTAATTGATATATATATATATATATATATTAGGCAATTAGTTTTTTTTTTTTTTTTTGTTACGAGTAAACAAATTTGTCCATTATCTTGTGTATAGAAAAAGAAAAAGTAAATTTTGTGTATAAAAAAAAAAGACAATAATTATTGGACATTTTAAATATAAAAAAATAAAACAATAATCTGTGAAGGGAGAGTATAATAATTAATATAAAGTTTAAAACATAATAATATAAATATATTCAGTTCGGTTCGATTAACTAAAAATATTATAAATTGAAATCGAATCGAATCGAACCAAACAAATATCAAATATACAATATTTGTACTCAAACTAAATTTATTTGGTTAATAAAAAATTTGGTTCGTTCAAATTTTTTGTCCACCTCTAGAAAGAGTGACTGTGTGGGTGTGGAAAAGAAAAATTATTATACTGTCTGTTTATCATTCAAATTTATGTTTATTTTTTCTTTTTGAATTGTCATAAAAATAAATAAATAAAAAATCATACTATTTTGTTACTATACTATATAAAATGTAATAAATATATATATGCACATTAAAATATATATCCAAAAGTATAAATACACAATTAGACGACTAAATAAATAATTTTTATTAAGGTTATCTTCAATCAGTTGTCATACTTAACATCGTATAAATGAAGTTTGTCCAATCTATCGTCATTTCTGACATTATTTATGGTGTTTGCTACAACTTTTAGTGTTGTACTGTTCTTTTTTTTTTTTTTTTTTTTTTAATTCAAAAAAGTTAATGGGGTATTATATAATATACCATTATATAACACTCTTTATATTTTAGTAAAAATGCACAAAACACAATGTGTTTCATTTATTGCGTGAAACCCTTGTGTAATGTAAAGTGCGCACGAAACACCTTCATTGTCCAAAACTGATGTTTGGTTCTAAATAAATGTCTAAATTATACAAGTTTTATACAAAAAAATAATGTAAAATATCTTAAATAAATTTATGTGAATAAAATAAATAAATAAATAATTGATCAATTATTTACTTTCATAGTTTCTATAAAAAAAAATAACAATTTGTCTCAAAAAATATAAAATGAAGGATTAATCAATTATTTATTTATTTATTTAATTCAAAAAAGTTAGAGAAAATTGTAAAAAATGCCCTGTATGTAGGTCCAGTTATCATTTTCGAACACTTTTTTTCCACTTTCGTAATTTAGGACATTATATGTACTCCAGGCATTATTTTTGTCCTTCGGTACCGGAAAAACACACGTGAGCGTCACGTGCGCCTTTGTGGCATGACCGACGCAAAGTAAGAACAACCGCCCTGCGATTTCACCGGAGAGGAACCCTATAAATCTAAATGAACACACTCCAGAATTCTTTTGAAATGTGATGACCGATACTGAGTCTCACCCTGCGTTGCTTCCCTTTTACACAAGCCTCACATAATTGAATTTTACATGTCACATCCCTACCAAATAAACCCTGCTTGCTTAGCACAGAGAACCCTTGCTCACTCATGTGACTTAATCGACGGTGCCACAAATTTGTCCTGTCATAATGTTTATCCAAGGACTGGGATACCGCTGCCGTTCCCATTACTAAACTGCCATGTAGAAAATAAATTCCATACTGCAGTTTTCCCTTCATCATTATCAGAGCACCTTTTAGGACTTTCATTTACTCACCTGCACCATGATATTTTAAACTATTCTTGGCTAAGATGCCAAGAGAAATCAAATTCTTTCTGAGTTTAGGAACATACCACTAGTCAAATTTCCTAACAGTACCGTCATGCAATTTTATCTGCACTATCCCGCTTCCCTTTATGGCTAGAACCCCATCATCACCTAATTTCACCATTCCATTCCACTCCTTGAAAGAAGTTAGTAAATCACGAGAGAACGTTATATGGTGAGAAGCACCGGTATCCATAATCCAAGTACTAGCAGTACTAGCACTACACACTGTCAGAACTTCATCAGGGTCCCTATCATCAGAACTGTCTTGTACCACAACAGCACTGCCATTGTTACTAGACTCAACTTTTGTATTTCTCTTCTTCTGTGGACAATCCCTTTTAATGTACCACTTCTCCTTGCAAAGATAACACTTAACTTTGCTAGAGGATTTTGATTTTAAATGCGACCTCTCATTCTCATTACCCCTCCTTTGTGGTCTTCCCCTACCTGCAAACAACCTGAACCAGAACCCTCTTCCAGATAAACCTTTTTTTTTTCAATTCTTTGGATATAAGGGCATCTTTCACGTCATTAATAGAAATTGTAGTTCTACCATATAGCATAGTATCTAAAAAATTCTTATATGAACCAGGTAGTAAACACAGTAAAATTAGGGTTTGATCTTCATCATCTATTTCAACCTCAACCCCTTGAAGATCAAGAATAATACGGTTAAAGGTATCAAAATGATCCTTTACCCGAGTACTTTCGGACATCCGGAGGGTGTAAGATCGTTTCTTCTGATATAGTCTGTTCGTGAGAGAGTTGTTTTGGTACTTCTCACACAGTGTATCCCATAGCCCAGAAGCCGTTGTCTGATATACAACCTCCCGTAACACCTCATCAGTAACTGACAGCAAGATCGCGGAATGAGCAATTGCCAAAATCTCTTTCTTCATCTCTCGGTTTGTGTCTTTAGGAAACTTGTCTTCTCCCTCAAATGCAGCCGCACATCTCTATTGAATCAAAAGTGTCCTCATCTTGACATTCCAGAGCGTGAAGTCATTCGACCCATTAAACTTCTTCAGATCAAACTTATACGAGGACATCTTTAATCAATCAGATTTGGCTCTAATACCACTTGTTACGAGAAAATAAGAAAGAAAACAAATAAAGCACACTGAAGTTTTACGTGGTTCGGTGATGGTGTGTCAACCTACATCCACGGACAGGAACCAGAGAGATTTTATTATACTGGTTCAGAGAGTTACAATCATTGTTTTACGGCTAGAAACTATAGCTATCTATTTATAAGTGCCCAAAACACCCTAAACCCTAAACCCTAAGCTCATTTGTTATTAATTAGGATACACCCAAAAGGAACCCTGTCAATTTAAATAACCTTTTCGCTTAGGTTCCGGGTCGAGTAGACCGCTAAATTCAAGTCACATTTCAACAGTTGCTTATTTCTTTTTATTTCAACTCCCACAGTAAGTTTCATTGTCCAAAAAACTAACCCTATGCCATAATGAAACTTTAAATCAACAAAGTATAAACTCTAATAAACAAGATCTATTGAAAATTGAACTAAATCAATAGAAATTTACTGAAATTGAAAAGTTCCAAGAAAAACTAACAACCTTGTACTTGGAAAAGAAAGATGCCGACGACATTACGAGAAAAGGGTTGGACAAGCCGATAACGGAGAGTATATTTGTTATACACTCTTCGAGGGATCAACTGTATATTAATATCGGATAAATGTATATTTACAATTACACCGAACATACCCGGAATATAAAAGTAGTGCAAGTCCAGCGAAAGCAAGCAATAAAAACACAAAATAGGGGATCACCCACTAACCAAGCAAATTAAGGACTATCATGGCAAAACCAAAACAGTTCACAAAATGGGGGATCACCCTCTAATTTACAAAATGACGAAGATTTATTTATCTCTAAGTCATCAAATTCCATATTCTGTAATACATAAATAACCATACATGTATATTACATTAATTGACATATTGAAATAAATGAAAGTGAATCAAAATAAAATCAAGAATTGACTACCATATAAAATAATTAAATACAATCACAAATAAAACCATAAACCTCCTGGTAAAACAAGCAAACGAAACATTCTTGGATTTTTAGGTGGATTAAAAGACAACTAGTGTAATGTATGCACTAAATTTCACTATCTAAACCACTAATTCTCTTTCATATCTAAACAAAAAGAACTTTGAAAAAATATAAACCTTAAATCAACAAAATTTATTAAAGTCGAAAAAAAAAAAAAAAACTAAATCATTAGCGTTAAACTTAGCACAATAAACAATAAAATCAAAACTTAAACCCCAATTAACAAAATTTTACTGAAATTGAAAAGTTTTGAAAAAATAACAACCATGTACATGGGGAGAAGAAGGATGCCAATGATGTTGTTGCGACGGGGCTGGCCTAACTAATGATGAAAAGTATGTATGTTTAACACTTTTCCAACTACTAAATAAACTGTAGGTCTCACAAAAATGCGAAAAGGCCACCGACCACAAGGGTTGTTGGGTGAGCTAGGGTGGAGGAGGGAGACGACGACGATATGCGACACATAGCTGAGATGATGAAGGACTACTGGACAGAGAATGTACGGAAAGGAAAAAAGAGAGAAATTGAATAACATAGACCGATTTGCAAAAATAAAAATTTCTAATTTCATTTACCAAAAATAAAAAAAAAAAAAATTATTGTAGACAGACACATGTTGCCCTT